GGCCTATAACAAAACTCTTATTTTGATACCGCCAAATTTATCTGTAGTTCAATGTGGATTAAATTATAAGAAGTAGAAATATTTTCTTGGCTCTCAACTCATCATTCCTTGAAAAATTGTCTCTTCTGTTGGTTTGCATTCAAGGTAAAAATTAGTCAGCTTGGACAATATAGTGAAAAATTCTTTGAATAAGGATATAATTTGTCTAGAGAAGAAGAGTTTGGCAAATCTCAGGGAAAAAATTGTTTTATAAGAGAATTATTGCTTTTAAATCTGAAAATCATTAACAACATTTACTTGTTCTTGTCATTGGAGAACAATCTTAAGAGGCTTGTTGAAGAATCCAGCATGAGAAGTTTTATTTTGCTGACGAGAGAAAACTAGAACATTGTGAAAAAAATAATTTAGTTGTATGAAACATGATATTCCTGTGCATTTTCTAAGCCCCGTTTCTACCTTATGTACTACAAAGATGCAGTAATTCAACCAAGAAAGCATATTTTGGCCAGGCACGGTGGTTCACGCCTGTAATCCCAGCACTGTAGGAGGATGAGGTGGGCAGATCACCTGAGGTCAGGAGTTCGAGACCAGCCTGGCCAACATGGCAAAACCAGGTCTCTACTAAAAAATTCCAAAAAATTAGCCAGGCATGCTAGTGCATGCCTGTAGTCCTAGCTGCTTAGAAAGCTGAGACAGGAGAATTGCTTGAACCCAGTACGTGGAGGCTGCAGTGAGCCAAGATCGCACCATGGCACTCCAGCTTGGGTGACAGAGCAAGACTCTGTCTCAAAAAAAAAAAAAAAGCATATTTTTTGAACTATGGAAATCAGTAAATTGTTGCAGTAGTGTATACTGCTTCCTATTAAGTAGAAGCAGAATGTTAGGGAAAAGTTTTTGTAAAATCTCTAGCCCTCTGTAGAATATGAGTATACTGTTTTGGTGGATCTAGATATGACTCAGTTTTCCTATTGGAGAGAGACTTCTCCTTCTCCTTCCCCATTTAATTTTTAATTTACTATGTCAGGGTTTCATAATAGGACTTTTTTGTTAGAAGAGAAATGCTGTTCTTATAACCCTCTATAATATAGTGTTCTTTGTCTATTGCTTTCTGAAACATACCCTGGTTTTGATATTGTCATTAATCTGTCTCCTCTTCAACAGAGTGTAAGCCTCTATTTGCCTTGGCTTAAGGCTTTTTATCCTTATAGCATAACATCTAAAACAAAAGTAGTCATATAATAAATGTTTCTTGATTCAACTAATTAATTATCCTTTTCTGGCTCTTCCCGTTATTTCAGTAATTTCGATTTAATTTCTGTTTAAACAATAAATGTATTTGTGTGGCATATTTGCATGGATCAACTCCTCCCCACCCCCCAATTTTTTTGTTTTGTTTTGTTTTTGGCCCCTCAGCTGGCACCTAGTATTTGCTTAGTACTATGTGCTTGGTACTAAATATATAGCAGGAGATTACAATGGGCTTTGTCCCTGCCTTTATAGACCTTAGTATCTCTGTAATAAAGGTCCAGGATATCATTACCTCATGAATAATCTCACCTCTCTCCTATATTCTGAAAGAGATGCCTATCATTGCCTTATGCCTTGCATTGTTAGTGGTGTCCTTATCATAGTTAATGACATTTTTAAAGCATATCTAAAATGATAAGAATCTTACAGATTGGTTTTCAGTAGTTTTTGCATATATTAAATTGTTACTCAGTAAATACAGTTACTTAGTTTAAGAAATGTCTAACTCATGTAAAAAATATTTTCAAAAATTATTAATAGTTTTTAACTCATATTTCTATTCAGATAATTTAAACAAAGTCTTTTTGCTGCTCTGTAGGAATTAAGAGATTTTTCCTCCCCTTTGATAGAATTTTTCTTAAATGTATAAGGCTCTGACACTGTTCTCAAAAATGCCTAATGATCAAAAAATGTTACTGGCTTTTAATATTTTAAGTTTCATTCCATTTTCCTTTTTTTTGGTTTGATTTGTCAATAATATAGATTATGGATTACCTTACTCTATCAATTATATGTTGTTATATATTATATCCTAAAACAGCAGTAAAGTGTCTTCACTCATTTTCTTTTGGATTCTGAGAATGAGCTCTGACCAAATGGCAGCTAGCACCTTTCCTTTAGCCAGAATTACATCCCATTTTCCATTACCTCATTTATAACTTTTTTTACCTTCATTCTTTTATATATTTAAAATTCCTCTAACTTCTTTACTGATATGTTTTCTGAAGTTTACTTTAGACCAAAAACTTCTGAAATAAAAGAGCTGGGGGTGGGGTTGTGTTAATTTCATCCCCATGTTCGTAGTGTTTTAAGTGCCTTGTCTTTCCAAAACAATAAGAATAGCAGCTATACAGATCTGCATGCTAATTGTAAACAGAATCAGATTCCCCTAACAGCAGTTTTGCCAGTAGTGTTTTCAACTGTGAATATTTCATTGATTTGTTTTGTAATTTTTTGAGCAAGCTTTAGCAGAAAAATAATTTCAGTAATGTTTATTCAACAGTTAGGCCTATATACCTGACACTGTACTTTATATAGGTTATGTAGTACGTAACAGCAGTTTTATAAGGTAAGTGATGTTATTTGTATTTTATAGGTGAAGAAACTGAGACAAGGAAGATTAAGTTGATGTGCTATAAAGATAATGCATTTCATTCACAGCTTAAACAAAGCATTATGGATTACATTAAAATTTTGGGTATCTGTGTTTAGGTTAAAATTTTGAGTTTATTCATCAGTCTTTCCTATAATTATAGGAAAATATAATTGAATATAACTTGATAACAGAGTTTATTCATCAGTCTTTCCTATAATTATAGGAAAATATAACAGAATTATAACTTGATAACAACCCCACTGATAAAACTAAGAAGTGGCCAGGCACAGTGGCTCACACGTGTAATCCCAGCACTTTCGGAGGCCAAGGCAGGTAGATTACCTGAGGTCAGGAGTTCAAAACTAACCTGGCCAACCTGGTGAAACCCTGTCTCTACTGAAAATACAAAAATTAGTTGGGCCTAGTGGCACATGCCTGTATTTCCAGCTACTGGGGAGGCTGAGGCAGGAGAATTGCTTGAACCAGGGGACAGAGGTTACAGTGAGCCAAGATTGTGCCACTGCACTCCAGCCTGGGCAACAAAAGCAAAACTCCATCTCAAAAAAAAAGAAAACTGAAAAGTGAACTGGTTTAAGATGGCCTTTTTTTCAGGGCAAGGTCACAGCATTGTAAATGTAATCAACTTGGTTGTCTTTTACAGACACTAGAATAAAAGACTAAAAACTTGTTAGGGTATAATAATCTTTAACTTACTACAAAGATTAATTTAAATATATGTAAACCATATTGCTTTAGTACAGATTTTTAAGTAATTTAAAATGTTTTCATGATTGCAGAAGATTTATTCTGCTTCTTATGTTATTAGCGGGAGTCCTAAGCAATATAATGCTAAGAAAACAGCACTCTAATATCATGACTCAGAGTTAAGTAAACATGAGAAAGAAAATTGATCTTTATACTACCAGGCATGAAGCCCAGAGATAAGTGTATTTGTAGGTGCCTTCTAAATTGCAAATTGCTGTCTACTTTTCGCATTTTCTAAAATCTCAAATTTTTAAAATCTACCTCAGAGAGGCCAAATGTTCTAGGCATTGATGGCCTCCCATTAGTATAGAATAGAGTCTAAATCTGTTGTAGAATAAAATTCATCAACTTATTAACCGTAACAACATAAAGAACCTTTCTGGATTGGACACAGTGTCTCACACCTGTAATCCCAGTGCTTAGAGAGGCCAACGTGGAAGAATCACTTGAGGCCAGGAGTTTGAGACCAGCCTAGGCAACGTAATGAGACCCCGTCTACAAAAAAATACAAAAATTAGCTGGGCATGGCGGCATGCACCTGTAGTCCCAGCTACTCAGGCGGATAACAGTTATATGCCCAGTTCCTTCCAGGAATCTTATAAGAGAGTCTTTGGTTCTGGAGTAGGTGGAGAGGGACTAAAAAGCCAGTTTAAGATGACCACAGGTAAAACAAAGAATAATGTCACTATGAGGTTTGAATATTTTGTTTAATTTGTCTCACCAGAAGTTTTATGTTGAGATGTGGCAGATAAAAAACATTAGTCATGTCGCCGGACTTGAGTTGTCCAAATGATTGTCTTCACATTAAACCATTCACATGCATAGTTTGCGTCACATTTCTAGATTTTCTTTTTGCTTAAGCAAAAGTTTCATAAGCTATCTTTAAAATTTTAACTTCACCAGTGAATTAAAGGAAGGTTACCTCTAAGCAGTGAATATATTTCTGGAAGGAAATTGCTCCAGAAAGTCTCTAGTAAAGTTGCTGACTGCAGAGATAAGTTAAAGACACTGTGAGACCAAGCATTACTCACACACACTGTACAATGGAATTAGCAGTTTGGACTAGCTACGCCCCTATGGGTTCTGCTCTGTAGCTGTTGAATCCTCAGTATTGGGAAAACAGCCAACAGTTCCTTGAATTTGTTTTAGTCCCACCTGCTCTAAGTATGCACTAATGCTTGTAAAGCTGTCCAGACTTTCTGATTTGAATTGCAGATAGGTTGGGTTTTTTTCCCCTTTGTAAGATCAGTAAATTAGGAAAAAAAAAAAAAAAAAAAGTAATAATTACTAAATTTATAATTGTAATTTGGATCAGTAGCACACTAAATATTCTGTGTTTTTGTAATATCAGTATTTTGTTGATTTTAGAACTACATAAAATAATTTCTGGAGATTTTGGTGTTCAGCATATCATTTGAAAATAACATTGAGAAATTCATTCATAGATTTGTCTTTATAAGTTGGCCATTTAAATGATGCATGCATTATTTGTGGGGTTTTTTTGTTTTTAAAAATGATAGGTATTTAATATGGGTCATGTTGTTTTGGGAAAATCAACGTAAGACGTATTGTTAAGAATTCAGATTTAATCATTACATGCGAAAGGCACAAATTCAGTTTGAAATAGCTTTTATTCAATGGAAGAAGTATTTTCTGTCGGCAAAACTAGAGGTTTCTCTCTAATTTTCTGTCTATATTTTTATAAATAAAATGCATTACTTGGCTGAAATTTTAAAAAAAAATTTTACTAGAAGTTAGAGCAATCTTAGATTTTAAATAAATTGTTAAGTATCTTGAACATGTTATTTAGTTATGATTTAAAATATAGCTAAGATTTGTTTTACATTGTGACAAGTATTTACATTTTAGAAAACAAACTGTATTTAGTCAACATAATTTTTAAAATAACTAGTATATGGATACACATAATTCTCTGCAGTAGCTGGTGGCAGATGAAACTACATTTATAGGTTCCCCTTTTATAGTTACAGTAAAATTCATTTGAAAAACTTTGTATGTAGAAATAAATTGTGCAAAGTAATATACAGGTAACATTTACATTTTTAAGAACTGAAAAGTACAAAGTTCTGTGTCGTTTAAATTGGTGACTGTCTCTCTTCAGTCAATAGGCTTGATCATCATCTGAACTGCTCTCAACGAGTATGACCCACCTCTGTATTCAGCCCAGAAAATTCCATCTTGGTGCTTGCTTCTATAATGGCCGCCTCTGTACCATACTCCGTTTAGGTTAGAATGTGCACAGGCATTGTACCACCAGCCTCCTTTATGAAAGTGAGCACAGTTTCCTTTGAGGAAAAAATACAGATATAAACATAAAAGTGTATTCTAGGTATGGTACTCTGCAATCATCAAAAACTTATCTGCCTTTAATTTGAACTTCTCTTTCTGATCCCGGTTACTTCTATCTTAGCAGTTTTAAATGTCTGCATTTATTCTGTTGCTGCTGTTGCATCAGCTACTTGAAAGATCACTTATATTGCCCTTTTTTAAATCTTGCTCTTTTTTTGCTTAATAATGTGCCTTTTTAAAAAGGGGGATTTAATTTCCTAGGTAGCAGAGTAGATGCAAGCAGTGTTTATATGTGAAAGAGTTACAGAGGGAGAAACTGGGAAGGAAAGGTACAGAAGAAGATAAAGTCTGAGGAAAATTGAATTCTCAAAATAGCAAAAAATAATACAAAGTAAAATAAAACCAGCAGCCAAATGAGTTTCTGTAAATAAGACATATGTTATGGTCATATCTCTCTTCTCTTTTCTCTTCGTTTACCAGTGTGAAATTGGTTAAAACAGAGCTGCTTGCCAAAATACAGCTGGAGAGAAAAACAAATCAATTTAGAGGAGGAGTGGGGGAGGATGGTGGGAGGGAATCTCTCTATCAGGATCAGAAACCTGGATTAAAAAATGAAAAGCATGTGAAAACTAAATTTAAAATTATATGAATGTTCTAATTGTGTCTTTCTAATGAAAATACTAATTTCTCTTCTGAATCGAGTTTTTTTGTTATTTCTGTACCACATGTCACAATCATGTTGTTTTTCCTCCTCAAAGAAATACTCTTACACCATGTATCCAAATGGCTTGCATCCTTCACTCCTTGTGAGTCTTTATTCAAATGTTGCTTTCTCACAATAGCTTTTCCTGGCAAACCTGTATGAAATAGCACCCATCCTAGGCCTTGCTGCCCACCACTTTCTATTTTCTTACTTGGTTTTATTTTTGAGAGTGCTTATTACCACCTGACAGATTGTTTTGTCTTCTGCAGTGAATAAGCTCCAAAGGGCAGGAACTTGGTTTACTCTTGTATCCGCAGCACCTACAACAGTGCCTGGCACATAGTAGGTGTTCAGTTAGTATTTGTTATGAATTTTAGGCACTTGCACTTTTTTTCCAGGTGAATGTGCTGCTGTTTTTTTCCCCAGAAATTTGTTTTTCACATAGATCACACTTTGGGATTGCCTTATAGAAGAGATCCCAAAAGCTCTTTCTTTGAGTAGGTTGTATTTCCTGTCAGAGTGACCAAAATTGACCTTTTTGAAAAGACTTTAATAGCATATATATTAATAGATTCTATTTAATGCATAGAAGGTGATGATTCTACAAAGAATGAAATTTTTTTCATACTTACCTGCATACATATCTTTATCTCTGTCCAGTGTGGTGAATTGTTTACCATTATGCCACATCATAGAATCCCCTGCATTTCCCTGGTAAGTTCCTAGGCGCAGTCTATAGAATTCATTTTCAGGTTCCAGACGAAAGCTGCTGTATTCTGCATAGACTTTTTTATCACTCCAGTCTTCTAATTCAATCAATAACTTGTAATTATCTTGATTGCTAAGCATATAGATATTTTCCAGTCCAAGCCAATATTCTCCATCAATGTTTCCAAACCCTTTCTAATAATAAATGAAGAAACATGAGTGCATAAATAAGTATAGAGATAGTAAACTTTTTTTTCTTTTTTTTGAGACCGAGTCTTGCTGTGTCACCAAGGCTGGAGTGTAGTAGTGCGATCTCAGCTGACTGCAATCTCCGCCTCCTGGGTTCAAGTGATACTCCTGCCTCAGCCTCCGGAGTATCTGGGGCTACAGGCTCACACCACCACACCCGGCTACCTTCTGTTTTTTGGGGGGGGTTTTGGTGTTTTTTTTGAGACGGAGTTTCACTTTTGTTACCCAGGCTGGAGTGCAATGGCGCGATCTCGGCTCACCACAACCTCCGCCTCCTGGGTTCAGGCAATTCTCCTGCCTCAGCCTCCTGAGTAGCTAGGATTACAGGCACGTGCCACCATGCCCAGCTGATTTTTTGTATTTTTAGTAGAGACAGGGTTTCACCATGTTGACCAGTATGGTCTCAATCTCTTGACCTCGTGATCCACCTGTCTCGGCCTCCCAAAGTGCTGGGATTACAGGCTTGAGCCACGGCGCCTGGCCTTTTTTTTTTGTTTTTTTAAGTAAAGATCATGTTTTCATGTTGGTCAGGCTGGTCTGGAACTCCTGACCTCATGATCCGCCTGCCTTGGCCTCCCAAAGTGTTGGGATTCCAGGTGTGAGCCACTGTGCCCAGCCTAGAGATAGTAAACATTTTTATAGGTAAGTGTTAAACATTCGATAGTGTAAAGATATTGGCTATTTATGTGGCAAGGTAAGCTTCCATTTTAGTTCATCACTTGAGTTTTATAAGCCACACATTGTCATTCTGTTTTTCGGTTTTTTGTTTGTTTTGCTTTCTTCTGATGTCAGTATTTATTTGCATAGCTAGCTTCAAATCCTACAAATAAGATAGAGACAAATGAGAATAAAATTTATCCATAGCTACTAAAAATATTAGTATACTACTCAGATCCTTAAAAAGGGTTTCTGGTATTCATCTAAAGAGCCCAACATTTTTTTCCTAATAGTAATCTTTGTAAAGTAGTAACGTAAGTCATCCAGACTGAAAGGGATCATTTTAAAGTGTATCTTCTGTTTTCTTTTTACATTTTAATTTTGACTTTAAAACCAGAGGTGAGAATCATTTTTTCCACAAGTATAGATAATGAAAAAACATATGGATAGTTATTTCTAACTCTGTATCTTATTTATTGCATGGAATCTTATTTATTGCATTATTGCAAGAGTGGGTTTATTTCACCTCCCTTAGGTTTGCATCACTGATTTACCTTATAATTTTCCCAGTTTCTGAAGAAGTTGACAGAGCCGTCTGTTCTTTTCTGAATAACAGTCCAACCTCCAGGATCCAAACTGTTTTCACACCATAGCTGCATTGGTCCATTGCTGTTTTCAGGTTTAATCATGTAAATCCCACTGACCGAATGCCCAGCTTCTTTTGCTTGCTGACAGTCTTTGAATGGTCCTATAATTTAAGTATCATTATTATCAGCAAACTTAATATGAGAAGAGACATATTAAAAGTTTTTAATCAAGTTATTTACAGCTACTACTTTCTATCACATACGTAATATTATATAAACTAAATAAAAGGGTGGCTCCAGTCCTGTTACTGGAAGATTAGTTTCATTTTCAACTGTTCTTTTCTTTGTCCATGTATGTATATTTTTATGTTGTTATATAATCCTAATACATGTAGAAAATTGGATTCTGTCTTAACATTTTCATGCACGCATAATCTCCATTCTAGCACTTATAGTTGCTGCACAATAGTCCTTGACATTGATATATGTTTATTCCTCTATCATTGGATGTTGAGTTTTTACAATTTTTGCTATTATAAAAACTCTGCACAAAGTATCTTCATTCTTATTGGATTCATTTTTTAATATTCTAAAAGTGCTGAGCGATCTGTCTACTGGATCAGGGGGGTATCAACTCTTTCATAGCCCTATATAGTACCCAATTTACAGCTTTGGAAATTTGATTTCAGTGGAACATGCTAGTACCTTGAGTATTTGTACTCATTGCAAATGGGGTACCAGTCAAATAAGTTTTAGAAATGCAAAATACTATGTTTCCCATTTGGAAATTCACAATATACATTCACATGTTAAAGACTGAGAAGCCCTGAAATAAACCAGAGATACCCAAACTCATAGAATCTTAAATTTCCCCCAATAACACTTAATAACAGCCCGTCAGGAGTGTTAGCATAAATGCCTATCTAAAGAGTTGTATCAATCTATATACCTAATAATAATTTTCTCATTTAATCTACAGTTACCTGGTGATGGTTTATAGGTGTTCTAGAGATAGGACAATTAACTAAGGTCATGTATCTTAGAAGGTGGTAAATCCTAGACATAAATCCCTGTCCAATCCCAGAGTCCCTGCTCTGCACTCCTGTGTTGCATGCATTTGTCATTTTATTTCATAATTTTAGGTATTCTCTATTTTTAATCCACTAATAAGTTCTTCAGATTTTACAAATGACAACACATTCTGTGAAATTACTTTTAGGATGTCTGACTCTTGAACCTGAAATTTCCCTATTTTTGGATCTAATTAATATTCTTCAGTTTCATCCTCCTCCAGTCTTTCAAGCCTTTTTAAATAAACATGCAAAATATATTAAGGGATTTAGAAAAAAGAGTTACCCTAAAGATCTCTTAGAACAAAAAATGTATAAAAATTTTGATTGTCAAATTTTATATTTTACTAGAAATTTTAAAATTCTGACTTGCATAATTTTTAGAAATTATGTGAGCGTTAAGTTCTTACAAGAATTTCTGTACTATAAGGATAATAGGATTGTTGAAATTTTGAGAAATGTGTTATCTATACTTTGCCAGATATGTACAATTTTCCTTTGGGGCCTTATTGGGATAGAATTAATCTCATTAGATAATTGTGCAACTATAACAATAGAAGGGGTTCTTAGAGACTATGAGCTCTTCCTTGTAGATTGTTCCCTAGGACAGACAATTTTTTTTTTTTTTTGGCTTCATGTCATCAATGTTTAAACCATTAGGAGACTGTCGATAATTTTTTGTTAGTTAAATTTCTCATTTTAAATACAAGGAAATTGAAAACTATACACAAAAATCAAGAGAACATCAGTTTCTGTAGTCCACTTGTTTATTATGTTGCATTGATGTTTTTTCTCCCTTAAATTTTTAAAAATTACAATGCAATGTTTATAAATAGTACAAACTACTAGTAAAGTTTTAAGAAACTTAAAGACTTGTGTCTTTCTTGGATTATATTTATTTTAGGTATTGTACTTTTTAGTTCTGAAGTTTCAATTTGATTCTTTTCTATAGTTTTCATTTCTCTTTTGAGATGCCCTATCTTTATATTCATTATAAATATATTTTGCTTTAAGATACTGGAAATATCTATAACCACTACTTAAAAAAATTTTGTCCTTTCAGTTTCAGGTTTGCTGAGAGTTTTTATCATGAATGGACTTTGGATTTTTTGAAAGGCTTTTAAAATTATTTTTCTTTTTAAATTTTTTTCTAACTAGACACATCACAGGAATCAAAGGCTTTTTATCTGCCTACTGAGATGATGATAGGGTTTTTCATTTTGTTGTTGTTTGTTAACACATGAATTACATAAATAAGTGTGTGTTGTTTGGGGCTTTGAGCCTGTCGCCCAGGCTGGAGTGCAGTGGTGTAATTGTCATAGCTCACCACAGCCTCAAAATCCTGCACTCAAGTGATCTTCCCACCTCAGCCTCCCAAGTAGCTAGGACTACAGGCAAATGCCACCATGCCTGGCTATTTGTTTTTTGGGTGGGGGAGAGATGGGGTCTTGATATGTTGCCCAGGCTGGTCTTGAACTCCTGGTCTCAGTGTTCCTCTGACCTTAGCCTCCCAAAGTGTTGGTATTACAGGTATGAGCCACTCCACCAGCCTTTACGTTGATTATGTTTTGAATGTTAAACTAACCTTGTGTTCCTGGGATAGTCTTGACTTGGTGAAAGTATTCAGAGGCCTTAACACGATACCTAACAAAGTAGTCATCATCGGTAACTGTTGGTTCCCTCATTTCTGCTTTATTACTCATCTCAACATATAATGGTAGCTTATTTCATAATTTAGTAGAATATTTAATATCTGCTTTTTTAATAAATTTAATATAGCTCATCAAAGATTAATGTATAGTCATTTCTACTGCAGAGAAATATTACTGAAAAACCTCACGCTCTGCAAATTCATGCATTAAAAATAATAGTTAATTTTAGCTGTTAACATAATTTGTATTTAGCTGCAGTTACCTGTGGCATAAAACGTTAATATGCTTGGAAAAAAATCTCATGTAAACCAGTATAACCTCTTTGTTTTGCTAACACTGTTTTCCTTTTTCACCAGTCACATATGGGCTACTTCACATTACAGAAACATGCATTGTAGTCAAGTTGGAAGAAGGATAAAGAACCTATATTTCAGAAAAGATGAAATTTACAGAATTTTTATTTCCTATGTGGGAGTGAGAGGGAAAGAAAAGTGAATTATGACTGCAGGCTCATACTTAGATTATTTTGTGTAATTCAGGTAGTATATTTGTTTACTTACAGTATTCATAGGCAAGGACAGTTTAGCACACTTAGGAATTCAGATATGTAGATATAAAACTATATGATTACTAGTAGTAATGGTTCCCAGAATTCCCTTTTTTTTTTCCCTTATTCTTGCATTATTCTTTCAAGAAATGTCTTTTCTGCATCTACTATAGGCTAAGGACTGTTTTAAGCTCAGGTTGGGGGTGAGAGAAGTGGCAAGAGAGAGAGAATTCCACTATAATATACTTCGATGGAGTTATATAGGGCACATGGTAGCAAAGTCTAAGAACTAGCTTACCGAGATCTCTGAGGAGCATTTCTCTTATTTTAAAACCTATTTGTATTGTACTTCATGCACACATGAAAGTGGTTTTGTTATAACATACAAATACCACATTTTGTAAATTTACATAGTCTGTTACCTTTGTATTGGTTATTCTATGAATATCATTTTTGTAAATGTTCACATTCGTTTGAGTATAGTTTTGACAGTTTACATTTAAGTATATATTCAAAGGATGGACTTTTATTAGGTTATTTGCTTTGCTGCAGAAACATCAGTGTTTTGAATGTTGACAGATTATTTGTCAAGTATCATTTATGGCATAGAGTTATACTCATTGTCTGCTATTTAATGGACACTCAGATGATTAAAGCAAAATGGAGAGTTCTGGGTTTTCTGAATCCAGCTTTGATTTGATAAGACTTCAATTATGCAAATTTAAGATTATCTTCAGCTTTAATTTTCAACCCATTTTTGCATTGGGCTTTGTATTTATTGTTGGATGTCTGTTAGACTTAGGAAAGTATAGTTGAAGTTCTTTTTCAGAACATATGGATAAAATTTAGCAGTGTTTATAGCTACTTTTTTCTCCTCAGTAAAGATATTAAATATCAGAATTCAATATTTGTTTGTATTTATTTTTATAAACATACCATTAACCTGTCCTAGTCCACTGTATATTGTTGATCCTGGCAGAAATATTTTCTCATTATTACTTGCAAACCTTATTTACTTTCTGCCCTAAACTTAGATTAGATCTCTTGTCCCTATCTTAAATGTTTTCACTGCTTTTTCTGTAACATAAACAGCATTGCTTGATAGAAATTGTTAAATGACAAATAGAAAATTTTAAGCTTTGTTCTTGAGAAGTCAAATTTAATTTACAGGTTTGCATAATTTCAGAAATAAATTGATTGACATGTAAATCAGGAATTTGTTCACGATGATTCCAGTGGTATAGACTGGAATTACCTTTCTTTTAAAATAGGCATAGCAACAACTTTTTTTTTTGCAAGAGTCTTCTCAAAGCAGAAAACTGGAATTCTATTCTTTGAATTTGAAGAACCAGTCTCTCTGTTCCTCAGTTTATGTGAGGATTAAAGTTTATATGGGGCTAGTGAAATCATATTAATACCTCTGATTCACAGAAAGAAAAATGTTGACGAGTCATGCCAGATTATCTCCCAAGATGTATTTTTTATTAAGAAATAGTTTTGAACAGTGAGTTTAAAAAGAAAAAATAATTTCATACTTTGAATAGCAGCTTTACTGGGAGCCATCTATAACATATGTGTTCTTTTTCTCTAAAAAGAACTTTTTAATTATAAAATTACAAAGAAAATCCTTTCTGTGATATGAAACAGCCAATTCAGAGTTTTCAAATAATTGATTAGCAAGTAGAATCTTTTGAGAGGTAAACTTTTCCGTTGGGTTGTGCATTAACTTCCAAATTCAACATTTCTGGAGTGGGAAGTTTGAGACAAATACTTTCTAAAGTGACATTAGAATCTTTCTTGTAATGATATGAATTGCTTAATATCTGTATGTTTAAACTGCATTTAGCAACCCAAACTCTTATTTGTTTAATTATTAAAGAATTTATTACTTT